GCCTTAGATGTTTTTTTAACATCTCTTTGTCTCTAAGTTGTATTTAATTAAAAAAATAATTTATTGCATAGCCATTGGGCCCATTTAGCCCATTTGGCCCGCGAGCCCGGCCTGTTTACCATGGGACCATGAGTTAGTGGGCCCGGTCCCGGGCTGGTTCCTACAAAAAGAACGTTTAGCCTGGGACCGTTGGAACTGTTAATCAGGGACCGAGATTGGCCCGGGACTGCGGCCCGCGAGATTGGTTCGTTTGAGGCCCGGCCCACTGCCGCCCTTACTTCAACAGAATACATGAGACAACTCAACGAAGAATCTATTTTAGAAGCTTATTAAAGTATTTTGACACCCGAGCATCTAAAATTATAAAATTTCCTTGAACTGTGTTGTATATATAATGAGTATATTATGAGCCCGTTTGGATGAGCTTGCTGTAAGTGACTTTTAAGTCAAATGCCTAAGTTAAGAATTCTAGCTTTTGGCTTATTTTTGTCATTTAGCTTAAAAATAAGTGCTTAAAAACACTTTTTTATTTTATCCAAATATTACAAAGTGACTTAAAAGCTATTTTGGCTTAAAAGCACTTAAAATAAGCCAATCCAAATGGGCTCTATGTTCGGTTGAGTGGTTAAGCCCTAAAGCCAAACATATTGAGGGTTGAAATGCAATTGACCTTTGGGTTAAATGCTTTGAACCTTTGGAGTATTTCTTTTGCGTTTTTGCGTTTCCTAATAAAAGAGAGACAGGGATAATAATGCATTTCATTTTAGTGTTATGGGCGGAATTAATTTTTAATAATGAATGGCATGCAACTTTTGACTTGCACGCAATTGTTAGACAACGAACATAATTGAGAACTGCAATAACTTGTTTTGAGAACATTTTTAGGGGATATTTTCAATCAAGTTGCACATAAAGCTCATCGGCACCCTTAAACAATTGAAAGAAAGTGCTGTTTACCCTGGAATCCGGATAACAATTGAATTTATATGGGGTTTTAAGGATCCGTGAACTAAAAGATACAAAAGGTTTGGATTGAGGAAAATAAAAGATAAAGACTCAACAATTGCTGCTAAAGTAAATAATCGCAGAATATAATATTGCTTAGAACAATTGTGCTTGATAGCGTACAAGAATTGAGAGAGATGGTACCGTAGTGTAATGGTTTCCGATCCCCTCTTTATGGGGTCTTCTCCCCTTTTATACATTCTGATTAAGGGTAAAAATAAGGTAGGTAAATTAATTACATCGTGGATCCCTGTAATTACGCCTTAATGGCCTGAAGTGGTTGAGAAAATCACGTTTGGGCGAGATATCCGGCGACGCTTGGTTATCCGTTACGAGTCCGGCTCCCGACCTTGTGTGTTTCTCCATCCGGTGGTGACTCATATCGAGCTCTGCAACGGTCTCGAAATGACTCGACCTCGGTTGTTGACGTGGCCGTCGTTCTACCTTGCATCCAGGTCGGGTTCGATGGCCCCGACTTGCCCCGGACCGGACCCAACCCGGTCGGGCTCAAGCAAAAAGGGTATCACCCAATACAAGTGCAAAGAACATTATTTGTTGGTCATATTTTTGTCTCATCTTTTACAACCTTAAATTCTTTTCTTTCATGTTTGCATGCTAGGTGGATGTATTGGGGTGGGGTACTGATATACTGTTGTCTTCTTCTTAATCAAGGATGGTGGAATCCACTGTATGCGTCTTTATGGTCAGTTGCTCGCTTTTTATTTATTTTTAAAATTCTTGCAAAGGAAAATTTAGGTCCGTAATCCCTTTTTCTTAGATTCATGAGTAAACAGGTTCAAGATTTAAAATTTATGAATTCCTTTAATATTTTCAAGTTAATATAAATAATCATTGAGTTTATAGTCAAATATTTATAATATTTTGTGAATTTATTATTCCCTATGTCCACTTTATGTGGCGGAGCTTGAATTTCAAGAGTCACATTTTTCATTTTGACTGTGAGTTCGGATATAAAATCTTTAAATTTTCTTAAATAAAATTTATATATTTGAAAACTACATAAAAAGTTCTTTAAAATCGCAAAAACTAACAATTCAAAATGTCTTAAGACATATGAACAAATCACGGTCAAAGAAAAACTTATTTGACTCTCGACATCCGAAATCCGCACATAAATTGGGATAAAATGAGTAATACATATACAAAATATGAACAAAAGCTATCAAGTTCACTTGAATTCATAGATTACAAAATTATATCCGCCTCTGGGTTCATGATCACTTAGGGGTCATTTTATTGGGAAACAAATTATTCCAAGATTAATTATTTAGGAATTAGTTATTCCAATATTGTTATTTTAGTTCCGGAATAGTTATACCGCAATTTATTTCAACTAAATATAAAATAAAATCATCTCACATTTAATATGGAGATTTATCCCTCGTATAAAAGGAGCACTTAGTTGGCAGAACTAAATAGTTGGTTGATAGTTTTTGAGTCATAATTTCCACTTTAGGTGTCCACTATTATTAAAGTTTGGATGGACGAACATTTTAATTGGTCGAGCATGTTTGGCATTTGTATGTATTCAGAGCTGCTCTTGATTACTGAATCCAATACATATTCGTTCTATTTTACTTTAGACCATACATTTCACTTATTAAGGATCCGTTTGAATATAGATTTCAAAAAAATATTTTAGAAAAACTGATTTAGGTAAAGTTTAATGTAAAATTAAAAATGTATTTGGACATGAATTTTGGGACAAATTTTGATATGTTAAAAAGTTTTTTTTTTCTTCCTTTTTTTAGCTAAGTCCCAAATATTCCCAAAAAGAGGTCTGAAGCTACTTGGGATTTGAAGTTTTGATTTTCAAATCTCCCGAAAAACTAAATTAATTCTATAAACAAACGTATATTTGAAAAAAAAAATTGAATTTTTTTTTCCCAAAATTTATGGCCAAACGCCTACTAAGAGTCAAATATTTTAGAATTGATCAATATTTTAGAATATATTTTTTATTATACTGACACGAAAAAAATTACAAAATATCGTACTTTTCGTATAGTTTTTAAATATTTAAATAAGTTGTACTAATACAATTTAGCTTTAAAAGAAATATATCATTGAAAGATGCATCTTTTCTTTTAATGAAATTTTTTATTTTGTCTCATACAACTGACACTAGTTGTATGAGATATTTTTTTTGTCTCACAATTTTGTGGACCCGATCTTTGTGAACTCAAAAGTGTAAGATTAGGGTTCATAAATTTGTAAGAAAAAAAATTACCTCATACAACTAGTATTAATTTATGAGGCACACGATAAAACTTTTCCGTGACTTATCCATGTCCATGTTAATTAAGGGTATTAATATGAGTCATCGTTACGCAAGCACACAGTTTCTGTCGCGTATTAACAAAAGAAGGTGCTAAATTCCAGAAGCAATCAAAGATTCAGATGGAAATTTTCCATTCAAAAATCAAAAGGGCCGACAAGAATGGAAAAAAGAAATGAGTGGATTCGATACACATTCATACACGGATTGACTGAAAGTTAATCTGAGCTAACGTTTGGAAACCCCATGCATAGAAAGCTTAAATTATGGTACTGCCTCCAATTCTAAACATTAATTAATTGTCCTAATAAATTGAATTTATTTTAAAATATTTTAACGATTTAAAAGAACAAGAAGTAATTTATACTATCTTTTTTCAAATTCAACCTTTACTATTTCAATTAGTATAATATTAGTTAAGTGAGATATTTAAAAGGAAATGAAAGGTAGTTTACAGAAGTACTCAGGGTATTAAAGTTATTCACTAAATAAGAAGTACTTCATTTTAAGGGATGTGCATAGATAATGACTACTCTCTCCCGTCCACAATAAGTGACCAATTTGCTTTGGCCACACCCATTAAGGAAATAATAAATTCTAAACGAAAATAGTTAGTGTGACTAAACTACTCTTCATTAAATGTTGCACCATAGTTATAGTAGTACTTATTCTTCTCAAACGTGAGGAGTAAATGACTTTTTAGTAATACATACATAAGGGTAATTTTAAAAAAATAAATTGAATTTTTTTAATTATATAAATGAACATTTATTTTGGACCAAAATAAAAAAATTAAATTTGTCACTTATTGTGGACCGAAAAGAGTAATATTTAAAAACCAAGTGCAGATAATAAGTAGGAACGGCCTCAAACTTATTATCGAAAAGTCACGTTCAAGCGATGTCATGGGCGGCTTTCCAGCCATGCCCCATGACCCCTTGGGCGCGCCCCGTGGCGTCCTAGCGAACCTCCCAATGCCTAGCGCCACGGACGGCCCCGTGGTCTTGGCCGCGCCAAGTGACAAGCGCGCAGGTGCCTCTGTCGCCCCACCGATATCCCTCGCGAGCGCCCTGCCGCAGGCAGAAGCCAACAGCGCCGCGCGCGCAGACCGTGATGCCAAAGACACTGCTGCTGACAACGGGCCTGCTGCTGCCTTATAGAAAACTAAGTCATTTTCATTGTAAATATAGAGTAGTTTATTTCATGCACTTTCCATTATGTTTCTCTAGCTTAATTAGGTCTACTCCTGTAACTTTGGTTTATTTTTTTAAGTACTATTAGGGGGGATCAAGCAATCAAAACTTTCTAGCAAGCAAGCAATTCTCTGTACTGGTGTCTCTCCCCCTCGACACCGCGTTGCTTTTCTGTAATAGCTTTCATTAATGCAATCAAGCTTTCTTTCATTCTGAATTCTCATTTCTGTTCTCTCAATTGCTCTTGACATTGGTTTTCCCGTACGGCACTGACAATCTCGTCTAGCGTACGGAGGGGACCTCAGTTGGCGGACAGCAATTGGACTGACATCAGTTGCCTAGCCGTACGTCGCCCTTCCAAGGAATCTCAGGAAGGCGCCGCGTATCAGATTGGATGATAAAAACAAAGTCCATTTCGTAAAAGTCGTGTAACTACGTGATATCGAATTCACGGAAAGGGATGTTACATGCCACAATTGTCCAAAAAACACACACACAAAATAAAGTAGGACGCCAGCATACTGATTTTCCCATTTTTGTCCAATAAACAGAGAAAAATTATTGTTATATTCATTCTTAAACGCCTACATTTTTCTCCTCACCAAACGAAGTTGAAATAATATAAAACAGAAAATAGAAAAGTTGAAAGGAATAACGGGAAGAAACAAGACAAAATTTTATTTAATTAGTCTAAAGAGACAAAGAAGCGATTCATACTTGCAATTTGAAGAACCAAAGCTTCTCTATCAAAGCTTTGAATGATTGTTTGGATTGTACTATACCAAATCCAAATGGAGATAAGTCACTTCTGCGGCTCTTCTTTCTTCTCTTCTTTCTTTTCCTCTTTCTTTTCTTCCTTCTTTTCCTCTTTCTTTTCCTCTTTTTTCTCTTCTTTTTTCTCTTCTTTCTTCTCTTCCTTAGCTGGCCCTACTGATAATATATCAACTTTACCCACTGCCTTTTTCAACTTCTTTACCACTGCTACTGCATCCATTTCTCCTATTACTGTTAGTTTCTGTTCCTTCAGATCTGCTGCTATTGAATCTACCCCTGCACTTAATCTTTTATTAGTAAATAGTACAAATCTGATTCTCAACTTTTCTTATGACTAAAACCAGATCCAATTGCAATTACCTAAAATATCAGCTGCAGCTTCTATGGCTTTCTGCTTTGTCTTTTCATCAGACATGGTGAGCACCTTCATTACCACTTTCATCTGATTGACAAGAAAAACACAAATATAGTTTTAACAAACAAACCCCTAAAACAGAGAGAACAGTGAAAATAGAGAATACGTTTATACAGTACCTGAGCCATTTGGAGTATGAAGGATTTGCTAGGATAGTTGTTGGACCAAAATGAAGAAATTTTGAAAAAGAGGCCTTGTTAAATAGGGGGGCAACAAAATGTGGCTGTGTACTATTATGCTGACCCCAAAGGTTGCCTAGATGACGCATTTGAGTGGAAATCTAGGCAGATTGCATATAGTTTTAGCTATCGGGTCCTCTAATTTGTCTGTTTCTCATAATATGACCCCTGATATTAAATGGTTTAACTCCAATTTTTTTCAAGGAACTTTGTATTAATTACTCGCATTTTACAGATGATCTTTCACAATTTTCTTTTGCATGTTATATTTATATGTATAAAAAGAAAACAATACTCCCTCCGTTCCAGTTTATGTGAACTTATTTTTATTTTTTTGGCCCGTTCTAAAAAGAATGATCCCTTTTTAAATTTAGAAACAAACTTAAACTTAAATTATACGCTTAATGAGAAGCTTTTATAACCACACAAGTACTCTGGGCCCCTTTTTAACTTGTTTAGGACCATAAATTTCAAAAATCTTCATTTTTTTTAAACTCCGTACCCAGTCAAACAGGTTCACATGAATTGGAACACGGAAAATAGTAACGATGACATAGTCCTTTTACGATTCATTTTCTCGGGCTAAGAATCTGCAGGAATTATCTATTTTTTTTAAATTTTAGTGGGCAAAAATTTAAGTTGAAAACTAGTTGGCTAGACCACCCATTACAGTCAACTGATCGTAAGTGTTTCTTTTCCAAGATTATTATTTTAACAGTTGTGAAGAAAAAGAATTTGAATATGACCACGAATAGTGTGGTAATTATATGGGTCAAAATACGCTCTAGAATATTTGAAATAAGATAATACTAAGGAAAGGTTCTCGAGCCGCCGTTAGTCGAGGTGGATCAAGAAGTAGTAAAGCTCATAGTCGAAGAGTCGACATGAGTCGTGGTCGAGGTACCAATCATGGTCGAGGCGGAGCACTATCGATGAAGCTGTAACGACTAGTTTTCGAAATAGGGTATTAAAGAAAATATTCTATGAATATTCTCTGTACATGTACTATTAGGGTTTACTAGGAATATGTCTCGTACAAATAGAAAAAAAAAAAAAAGAGAATAGAGGCACGTGAGACTCAATTGTAAAAACAACACTTTGTAAAAGATTCATCATTATCAGGTGGAAGGTTCTTTTGTTCCCTCTCTTGCTGATTAAATTATTCCTCTTAATTACACGAGTGTCATTATATTGTCATTTATTGAATATCATATACACTGCTGTTGTTCTTGATAGTAAAAGGCATTTATTACATAATATCATTATCATCCTCATAAACGCCTTTCAACTACCTTTTCTAATAATTGATATCAAGATATAAGGATATTATTCTTAACTAAGATTAGCTTATGTTTAACGGAAATTAATTATTTGAACTAAGATTTACGTTTTGGGGTCAAACATCAGTAACATTGTACTCCATTTTGCTGATAGCTTTGTAAAAGTCGCTCTTTCGAACTATAGGCCATTTATCAATTTGCATACATTATAAGTTGTAACATTCAGTTGATATAAGCCCCAAGTAGCATGAAGGCGCCCTGAAAATTCCTTGGATTAGCACTGACATAATCCTCACAGAATGGCCGAGTCGATCCGACCTCTCCTCAGTGAGGTAGGCCAATGAAGGTATGTGTCATAGGGTTTGAGGGACCTGTTTTGAACCGGATTATTTTAAAAAAGACTCGGTATATATAGGACCCGTTTGTTCATAGATATTTTTTTCTTTTTTTTTCGATTTTTTATTTCAAAAATATGTTTTTGTCCATGAAATTTTACAAGTTTTTGGAAATTTTTCAAAAATGATTTTTTTAAAATTTTCAAAAATTTTTGTTTCTCCGCTCACAAAATTGCAATATTTTTTCAACTGAAATGCATGTCCAAACATAATTTCAAATTCCAAATACCATTTTTTAATTTAACTCAAAATACTACTTTTTTTTCCAAAAATTATAATTTTTATGTCCAAATGCCTACATAATACTAAAATTATATTCAGAATATAGTAATGTTTGACCAAAAAATATAGATCTTTGATTAAACTAATTAAACTTATATAAGGAGGGGTTGAACTCGGTTAATGATAATAACTTCGGATCTACAATCGATTAATATGAGTGATGTAGAGCAGCGTTGAAAGAAGATTAAATGCAACGTGCATTTAATGTTTGAAGACCATAAATGAAGAGGGAATATCAAGAAATAAATAACAATAAATGGCATTAAAGTAAATAAGGAGAACAATTAATCCAATATTGAATGAGGTGAATGATTCTTCCTCCTGACAATGACGAATGATAGACAATCGAATCTCTTTTGAAAGGTAATATTTTTATTCTATCTAGAGAGAAAGTCTGCTTTTTAAAGAATGTTCTTATCAGAGAATATTACATGCCTCTCACCTTATCTTTCTCTATTTATTTATATGGGCCATGCCTCAGTCAGCCCTAAAGGTACAAATACAGAGAATATTCAATAGAATATTCTCCTAGAGATCAAAACTAGCCGTTACTATTGCTCTTGATGCGTGACCTCACCCGTTATTGACTGCTCGGCTATGAGCCCCATTGTTCGCTAGTCGACCTCAGCCATATTACTTTTTATAACACTGCTTCATGTTAAAATCTCTTGAAGGCAAATTTTGACCCATGCAGTTAGTCCCTCGGCTTATTGAGGCCGACCCTGGACGACCTCGATGATCGGACTCTATTAGTTACGGTTGAGATTTAGGCGAGCAGGTCGAGTAGCAACGTTTCGGACAAGGTGGCAACGTGGCACTTTGTGAGCCGTAACCTACGTTCACGTCGATTTAGAGTGCGTCATTATTATGCATTTTCCCGATGCGTTGCGTCGTTTCCCGTGCTTCTGTTGTTTCAATACCTGCACTAGGAACTGACGACTTTTTTTCTCGGTATTGACGCTTGGATGGTTATAAATAGGGATTTGAAACCCTTAGACTCACTCTTTGCATTCTCTAATATTGAAGGCCTGTATCTCCTCATTCCTTCTTCATTCAAAGTTCCTGCTCCCGTTACTTTTACTCTCATGTCTTTGTTTTCACCGATTTTGGTGGCTTCTACTACTCACGATTCATCTGTGCTTATATCTTCTTCATACATAAACAAAGATGGTTAGTGCATCTTCTAGTTCTAGGAGAGCGACCGAACCTGTTCCCCTGGCGGTGCGCATGCCTCCCCATGACGATGGGACCGCCATTGTTGCAGAAGACGAAAGCATTCCTACGGTGGAGGAAATAATTCCTTGCAATGAGAAGGCTAGATCGGACTTCTCAAAGCGGCCCGAGGACGACCCTGAGGCCGTGGAATCTGAGATGGATGCGGCTGCCCTTGCTGACTTCTGGACGAAGTTCAAAATTCCAGCCTACATCGACCTGATCCCGGCCGGTCGTGATGTGATGTAGATTCACCGCCCAGGATATTGCGCATTCTACGCATATCCATTCTATGTAGGCTATTCTTTTCCTCTTTCCCTACTGGCGGAGGTCGCTACTACGGCGTCTGCCCGACCCAGCTTTCTCCTTGCATCTACAAACTCATTCTCATGCTGACGAAGTACGCGGAATTGGCTGGCCGCAGAATCTCTCTTCGCTACCTGATACACCTCTTCGCGCCCAATTTCCATAGGGGGGACGATGTTGCACCTTCGTCTTCGGGGAAGTAAGAGTCTGGTAGTGAAGATGGACGATAAAGCAAATCGTCGAGTTTGGCTACATTAATTCTACGTCAAGACTGAGGACGTAGTGACAAATGCAAATGGATTTCCTGAGGCGTGGAATTATGCCAGTAAGTATCTTTGCTAAGTTCTTACTCTGCTTGTTTTTGCCGTAGTTTAATCATTCCACTTTTTTTTGTTCAGCCGAGGCCGAGCCCCCTCCATTAGTCGCAGATATTCGTGATTGGGTTAGCCAGGTCTTGCCCAATATGGTGGGGATTCGTGAATGATCGGCCTTTCACAAGAAGTTTGGGCCCAAGCCCCCGGCGACCGGTGAGTCGTTTGCTTTAAGTTTTCGTTGATGCGGCCTTCTAGTTGCCCGTTGTGAGCACGTGATTTTTGCCCTACATGAATTAATCCCATAATTTCAAAACAAAAATATTTTCTTTTTATTATTTGCAATTTTGTGGATTTTCGTGGCATTTTCTGTTAATTGTTTGCATTTGTCTGCGCATGTTTATTTTATTTAATTCAAGAAAAATACAAAAAATATTTGGCATCTGCATTTAGGGTCTTAATGTTACAGTTTTAGGATTAATTAGAAATTAATTATTTCATAAATGGAGAATCAAAAATATATGTTTAAGTTGCATTTTTAATTTTGACTTTGATTTTGAGTAGTGCTTCTTTTAAATTTATTTTGTGTTGATTATTATATGTGTTCAGATAGTTTCTTAGGGTTAATTGAGTTTTAGGAATTAATTTAGATGTATTTTTAAATTTTAAATAAAAAGAATTAGGATAAAAGAAAAAAAAGAAAGAGAAAAAGGAAAAGAGCAAATCTGTTGGGCTGTCCAGTTCCAATCCCCAAGCCCAAAGGAAATTCCCTTAAGCCCACCCCAAATCACCATCTCCCAGCCCAAACCCACTCCTTAACCCGGTCCAGCCCCCTTACCGCCAAAACGACACCGTTTCGTCGTTAGCAGATCTGAGCCGTCGAGGTTGGACGATCCAACGGCTCAGAAGTCGGGTGTCACTAATATTTAATTGTCTGAACGCCCCCCCTACCCCCCTCTCATCGTCTCCACACCCTAGAGAACCCCTCTCCGTGAACCACCGGCCGGAAATCGCCTCCGCCGGCGGCCGGCCACCAAATACCACTAAATTTACACTATGAGTTCCTCTCACCCTCCCCATTCCAACCCCCCAATCTACTTCCCTCGAATCCCAGTCGATTCCTTCGAATAGCCAAAACCCTAGGCGCCGCCTCCGCCGCCCACGGCGGCACCGCCTCCAAACCTCCTCAAAACGACCCCCCACACTCCCCTCACTTCACTCTCCCCAAACCCCTAATTATTTTCTTTCAAATCCTTCCCCACCTCCTCAAATTTTGAATCTAAGAGGCAGAACC